CCATATAGTTTGTCATTCTCATGGAGGTTACCCCAGGCTTCTTCACACGCCGGTCTCAGGATCCCAAAAGGGTGAGAACTCTCACAAAGTCACTTCCACGGCGTTCTACCAGTCAAAGCAAAGTACAAAGCAAGCCCATATTCGAGGAGACAGAAAAACAGTTTCCATCTCTTGATGGGAAGAGATATAAAGTCACACTTCACAGGAGTGTGCATACAAAGGTGGGAGGAATTTGTGGCTATTTTTTCCCCTCTACTACACAAACAATGGCCCCAAATTCAGAAACAAAGAGAAAAAGATTGATCAATTTGATTGCATAAAAATAAAAAATCTCTTGTATTACAAAAACACCATAAATAATGTAAAAAGATAAATGACAAAATTGAAAAAATATTTTTAATTTATATCATAGACAACAGTTTACTATTTCTATTATATAAAGAGCTTCCAAAAAACTGAAAAGGGAAGGACTGACAATACTATGAAAAATGTGCTAGAGATATGAACAGTTTGCAGAAAAAGAAATATATGTGGCCCTTAACCATATGAAAAAATGTTCAACCTCACTCTAATAAAGGAAATGCAAATTAAAACTACACTGAGATATTTTTCGTTTATCACATGAGCAAAAATCCAAACGTTTGACCATATGCTCTAACAAGAAACAAGCAATCACACACATCGCTATTTTGGGAATGCAAATAGTATGACTTCTATGGAAGGCCTTTTGCAATAGCTGGCAAAATTACATATGTATTTGAGCTAGCAATCCCTCTTTCAGAAATCTATCCCAATGATACACTGGCAAAAATACAAAAAGACATATGCGTGAAGCTATTCATTGCAATGTTATTCGTAATGGCAAATACTAGAAACAACTCAAATGTCCATCAATAGGAGACTGGTTGAGTAAACTCTGGTACCCACACATGGAGTTCTATGCAACTGTGAAAGGTAGTGAGGAGTATCTCTGTGTACTACAATCAAGTGATCTCCAGGTGCATAGTTAAATGAAAAAAGCAAGGTGGAGAAATGTATGTCTAGTATACTACTGTTTATCTAAGAGGGAAGGGTAACAAACATATATATAGCTTATACAAAAAAAAAGGAAGGAAAAGCAAACCATAAAGTTTTATAGTTTTTATAGGGAGATGGAAGGAATAAAGACAGAAGGTAGATTTCTCTGTATATGTCTTGTTTCATAGATTTGACTTCAGAACCAAGGAAGTACTTTACATCGTTACTAAGAAATTTGAAATAGTTTAAAAAGGCAATCCCTCAAAAGCAATATGAAACTGCGATTTAAGTTGTGGCGTAACTGCACAGAGAGGAACAGTTCCAAGTGACTTTAAATCACAGTAATTTAACTGTATGTACACTACAGATAACAAGTACTCCCCAAAACAATCCTGAAGTGTTTTTAATAAGTATATTATTAATGATAGAATTTGTTATTTTGGGATTGCTATTTGTGTTTTGTGGGATAAATCACTTGAGTAATTATGTTGGTGTCTTTGAGATCCAAATTTTGGAGTGGAATAGGAGATCGATCAGGTTAAATAAAAACCCTGTGGTGCTAACTTTGAATTGGAAGTATCAGCATGAATTCCCAATATATCTTATCTTTAAAAAAAAAAAAAAGTACTTCTTAGCTCTGTCTACTAAAAGGCCTTAATACAATGACCCACCAAGTAGCAATGGGCACCCCATAAACACCCAGATTGTACTTTAAGTACTTAAATCCTTAGATACTTAAGTACTTAAATCCTTAAATACTACTACAAATACATTAAAAAAGAAGCAGGGGTCCTTGAAGAAAGTGCTGATCCCAGGTCTAGGGTAGGATATTTACATCTTATCACACCAGAAAGCAAGGAAGCTACCCAAGACTACTAGGGTTATGTCAAAAGGAATCAGAAGCCCACTTGAAGAATCTCCCATTTGTCAAAGATGGAAAATTTGAGCGTTAATAAGGATAATAACTGCAATTGGACTGAAGCACATAAATCATGTTTAAATTGCTGAGTTCACAATGATACAAAAAAATAATGTATTGGTCGTCTACGGAGGATGCTAGGGAGCTATCTCATTATTTTGAAAACTGGAAATAAAAGGAAAAATCCAAGTATTTATTTTGTCTTTCCTATAAGAACTGTACCTCCGTGCAACCAAATAGTTGGTGAAAGAGGTTCCTCTTTATAGAATTAGTCCAGGTAATAAATAAACAATGATAAAATTACAATATCACTATTTTACAACTCCTAATGAAATAAGATCAACGGATCAACGACTTCTAACGTCACAAAGAGAAAGACAGTCAGATATTGTGTGTCTCTTGATGGAAGTGTGAATACCACCTATTAAGTATTCCTGCCAAAATAATAAAACTAAATCTGATCAAAACTCTAGATCTCAATACCAGCTTATAGGCAGTACAGGGGAGAGGAACACGTTAAAATTAAACAAAAAATTACACGTGGTTGCAATAAGCAAAACCCAGACTGTGAAAAATTCTACAGATCAAATGACCCGGTTTATTCAAAAAATAGAAGACAGATCGAGGGGGAACCTATAGAAAAAGAACTTAAGGATATATTGACCAATTGCAATTTGTGGACTTTAATTGGATTCTGATTCAAAAAACAAACTAAAGGGAAAAAGAAACCCTTTATGAGACAGTAGAGGAAATTTGAGCCCCGAGTAGTTAGTAATACTAAAGAATAATTATTATTATTATAATTATAATAATAATTATTATTATTATACATACAGGGAGTGAAGGTGGTAGAAGTTAAGTGGGTGGGACTACGAATACAAGATTTGCCAAGAGTTGATAATTGGCAAATCTGTGTGTAGGGCACATGAAAATTCCTTATACTGTTCTCTCTACTTTTGTTTGAAATTTTCCACAATAAAAAATTAAAAAGAAAAAACAATGTATTTAAATTATTTTTTTAAGACGAGGAAATTCTTCTTTTTGAAAGACTTCTAGTGGACGTTATTGTGGCTGAATAAAATACCTAGAATTGTGGTGATTCATCCTGTGTTTATGAACCCTTGGCTTATCCTGCCAAGGATAAAGCCAAAACATTCCTGATTGTAGAGCAGAATAATACAAATAACCTGGTTCTTGACAACCCAGCTACAGAATAAATCAGCCCTGGAGCTGCCCGACCTCTGGATATCTAGTTAGATAATAACTCTCTCTGTTGTTTAATCCATTTTGAATTTGTTTCTGTTATTTGCAACAGAAACTATCCTAACCAAAACAATGGAGAAAAATACATTTTTTGGTATGTATTAAGATCATAAGAGTGGTACTGTATAATGTTTCTGCTCTGTTTTACAGAGTGTTTAGTAAAACAGCATCCCTTAATAGACTTCATAACAGACTTATGAGTCTATTGCAACATCGGTATTGAGACAAATTCAAAACAAATCCAAAGAACCATCCTGTACCTTCGTCACCCTGTTCTGCAATGATTAAGTACTTGTAATTACTGTTTTTCTGTACCTTTCAAATTCCAGAGGCATTGAGCCAGCTGGTGTATCACCATCCACCTATATTCAGTCCCAGTTTACCATGGGTGAAAATCTTAGCAATCACGCTGCTACAGAAAGCCAGGGACTAGCAATCCTCCACCTACCACCAGTGATGGGTCCTTGTTGCCTTGTAGCTGGAGAGGGATACAATTCCACAATCCAATTCTTAGAGTCTGCTTCCTAGGACCACATCCAGTACCAATGATATTAGGTGGAGTTCCCTTGAAACAGGAATTTTTGGGCAAGTGATTTATTGAAGGAGGGCCTCAGGAGAATAGGAGGAGGAAAGCAGGATAGAGCAGGGGAGAAAAGCTAAGCAAGGATGTAATTGCAGCTGGAAACCAGCTTCAACTTAAACCCTGGGGAGCTCTGGAGCAGGAGCTGTCCCACAGAGTTGGCCTCACCTGTACCACTATGGCAGTCAGTCATGGTTGTGAGTGGCCTGCGGTAAGGGTGGGGATGGGGTGTGTGTGTAACACTCACAGCAGCTAGAAGTAAATGTACTGGCTCAGTTAAGGGCATCTAGGCAGAGTATTGACAGCATCCACTACAACTTCCCAACTTACTCCAAGTAATAGCCCAAAGCTTACTAGACCCTGCATGATCTATCCCTGCATAACCATTCTCTCTCTCTCTGAAATCATCTCCAACTACTCTCCCTCTTTTTCACTCCACTTTAGGCACACAGGCCAATTCTCAAATTGCAATTCTCAAATTGCAATTTCTCAAATTCTCCAGCATATTCATGCTTCAGATCCTTGCACTTCTCAGTTCCCTCATCTGGAATGATCCCCACCCCTACCCCACCCACCCATGTCCTCATGACTGGGTCCCTTATGCATCCTTCAGGTTTTTACTGACAAGACATCTTCGTAGTAAGGCCTTCTCTGTCTGCCCTATCTAAAATCACAACTTCCACCCCTAGCCACACTTATAATCCCTTTACTTTCATTACATTCTTTTTAAGCACTTATCAGTACTTAACATACTATATAGTTTTCCTATTTATCTTGTTTATTATTTGGTCCTACTCTAGAACATAAGCTAAAAAGGGTAACAATTTTTATCTTTTTTTTTTTTTTTTTTAAATCTCAGCACTTAAAACAGTGCCTGCTAGGTTACAGGTACTCAGTTAATATTTGTTGAATACATGAAGGAATGAATGAATGAATGATTCCTAGCACAAAGTGAAGTCCTCAATAAACATTGCTTGAATTGAACTACACTGAAATGGAAAATATCAGCACAGCCCCCATGTAATAGAGATGGGAGAAAAGACATATATCACTATATGCAGAGTTCTCCATAGATTATATGTTTTCTTTGATAATGCTGCAGTGGTCATGTGATGTTATGTATGTGTATGCTAATATATATAATATGTTATTTATATATATAAATATTAGCAAATAAAAATAGAAACACTAAAGATTTTCCAATTTTATTTGTTGGTTCAAATCAAAACATAGGAATATAGATTTACATACATTAAAGTAACGTAAAGGTATAGCAAAATTAAAGTGAATGCAGGTTGTACAGATAACTCAATTCCTATGATATAACATTTAAATCCAAAGATGAAACTCTTTAAGCTCTTTACTGCAATGTCATATTCTGATCTCAGAGAGTAGAAAACTATTCAGACATGTAAAATCTCAAACCTCTCAATCCTGAACTCTATCAGTAGATACCAAAAATCTTCAAGGCACATTAACATTTTCTAGAAAAAAAAGCCTTTTTAAAAACTAAGATTACCAAAACTACAAAAGCATCTCTCAGAAGCTCTGTGGCATTTTTTGCTGAAGCGTCAATCAGCATGAGATTAGCCTTGAACCTAAGCGGCCTCAGAACCAACACCGGCTTCTTCCTGTAAATCATCCCCAGCAGAGGATTCTGACTCAATTGGAGAAGTTTCTTCTTCTAGTTCAGCATATTCACCAGAGCTTTCGTTCTCTGTCGTACCTTTATCATTATTGATAGCAACAGCTTCATCCGGAGCTGCACTCATAACCTCTGAGGCCGGTTCAGCGCTGACGTCTGCGGTTTCCCGGGTCGCTGCATCTGTAACCTCTGGCCCAGTTTCGGCGCTGACTGCGGCGGTCTCCGCCGGAGCAGCCTCCACATTATGTGGACAGGCTGAAGCCTCTTTCATGACTGCAACCGTAGCATCTGGAATATCTTCAGCATCTACCACCTGAGCTTCCACTAAAGACACTTCAGGGGCTTCTGCACGTGCTTCCTTGACTCCTGCAGGGTTCTCTTCTTCACCTTTAAGATTTAGTCCATTAAGCAAAGTATTAATTTAAAGAGCATAGGAATACAGTGGAACACTGTGCAGTCATTTAAAGAAATGAGACAGATCTATATGTACTGATATGACATAGTCTTCAAGGTAGACTAAGTGAAAAAAGCAAGGAAAAGAGCAATGTATACAGTATGGAACTATTTGTGTTTAGGACAAAAGGAGGGTAACATATACCTAGATAGTTATATTTGCAAAGACTCTCTTCAGGAGGATACAAAGAAACTGGTATTATTGGCTGCCTCTGGGGAGGGAAAATGGGGAATCTGCTTTTCTGTAAGCCCTTTTGAACCTGTTGAACTTTAAAAAAAAATAATTTACATATATTATTTATTCAAATACGAAGAACATGAAAATAAACAGCCAATCTGTCATGAGAAATAGCATGGAAAAATAGCCAACTTAGCTGATAACTCTGATGAATCACTAATCCTCTCTCAACCTCAGTTTTGTCATCTGCAAAATGGAGATATTGACAATATTTACCTCACAGAACTATTGTGAGGATTGATTAAAATAATGTGTTTGAAAAGGAGTTTAAAACCAATGAAATGCTATATTTTATTGTTATTATAATCAGCCTTCTCATAATTATATTTAATAACATTTATTGATGATATTCTGTTTCTTATTGTTGTCATGACTAAAAGGTTAAAACCGGTCCAACATTATCTCTGTCCCTAAATAGTGATCATAGTAACTGATAATAATGGCATTTATAGTTGAGATGGAAAAAAGTATGGTTTAAAGCAAGCATTTTAAGGCAAGAAATATACATTAGGGTGAAAATGTAAAGTTTCTCTTCCTGTAGTTGTCATTTTATCAGTTAGATTAACTGAGAGACTCAATAGACTTAACTGATTCTAGTAATGTCAAATGTACTTTGGGCAAAGACATACAGGTGGTCTTAGCCAAAACTGAAAGAAAAAATAGTTTTATGATTTTAAAGACTAATGAGGGGGGCCAGCCCCATGGCTTAGCAGTTAAGTGCGCGTGCTCCACTACTGGCGGCCCTGGTTCGGATCCCGGGCGCGCCCCGACTCACCGCTTCTCCGGCCATGCTGAGGCCGCGTCCCACATACAGCAACTAGAAGGGTGTGCAACTATGACATACAACTATCCACTGGGGCTTTGGGGAGGAAAAAAGGAGGAGGATTGGAAATAGATGTTAGCTCAGAGCCGGTCTTCCTCAGCAAAAAGAGGAGGATTAGCATGGATGTTAGCTCAGGGCTGATCTTCCTCACACACACACACACACACAAAAACTAATGAGGGGGGCCGGCCCCGTGGCTTGGTGGTTAAGTGAGCGCGCTCCACTGCTGGCGACCCTGGTTCGGATCCCGGGCTCGCACCGACGCGCTGCTTCTCCGGCCATGCTGAGGCCGCGTCCCACATACAGCAACTAGAAGGATGTGCAGCTATGACACACAACTATCTACTGGGGCTTTGGGGGGAAAAAATAAATAAATAAAATCTTTAAAAAAATAAATAAATAAATAAAAATAGAAAAAAAAAAAAAAACTAATGAGGGAAATGAAATGTCAAGCTGCTGAGAGAGAGAGATACTAAAATTATGCCTGCATGAATGGAAGCCTGAGGAGGGGGAAAGTAATATCACCACACAAAGAACTCAAAGCCACTGGTCAGCAGTACAAATGTAAAATGTTTTCATCTATCAGATGCACTCATCCAAAACGTATAACAATATTCTTTAGGTTTTGGTTAGGCTTTTTTTTTCTGAAGGAACTCCTATCCAGAGCCATTCTGGATTAAGTTAGTAAAAAAGCCAAAAGCAAATAATAGTCATTGACTAAAATGAACTAAGACTAAGATGATGGAAATCAGTGCCACAAGGGAAGAAAATAATAAATTCACTTTACCTTGAAGTGGATGTAACTCTGCTTTGGTTTTTTCTTTCAGATTTGTTATATGTTCCGTGTGTTTGGCTTGCTCTGATTTAACTGTCTTGTAAGTCTGAAAGTAAATGTGTGCTTAAGTTTATTTCTTGAGCTCTGAGGTTCATGATAAAAGGTATATACAATTCAAAGAGGAGAAATCAACGCACACCATCTACTCTTTTGCTTCCCCTTTGGAAACCTTTGTCATTAAGTAAAATACTTAAAAAGGGAAAGAAACAAATGCTCAAATAGAGTTCCAAGATAACTAAAAACACACACAGCAGAGAGAAAGATGAAGACAAAGAAGAAAAAAATAAATTATTCTAGAATCAAAATATTTTGACAGGCATTTACAAATATCCTCCAGCTTTTATCCCAGAGAAAAGGAAATTTATGTGCACATGAAAACCTGTACACAAATGTTCATGGTAGCTTTATTTGTAATAGCCAAAAACTGGAATCAGCCCCGATGTCCTACAACAGGTGAATGGTTAAACAAACTGTGGTACATCCATAATGTGGAACATTACTCAGCAATAAAAAGGAATGAACTGTAACAATTTGGACGAGTCTCCAGGTAATTATGCTGAATGAAAAAGCCAGTCTCAAAAGGTTATATACCTTATGATTCCATTTATATAACATTCTTGAAATGACAAAATTATAGAAATAGAGGACAGATTAGTGGTTGCCAGTGTCTAGGAGGAAGGGAGGGGAGGGCAGGAGAGAAGTGAGTGCAATTATAAAAGGGCAGCACAAGGGATACTTGCGGTGATGGAACTGTCCTGTATCTTGACAGTGGTGGTGAATATGGAAATCTACACATGTGATAAAATTGCCTAGAACTAAATACACACACACACAAGTGCATGTAAAACTGGTGAAATCTGAATAAGGTCAATGGATTGTATCAATGTCAATTACTTGGTTGTGATATTGCATTATAGTTATGAAATACATTATCACTGGGAGAAATGAGGTGAAGGGTATATGAGATCTCTCTGTATTAGTTCTTATAACTGTATGCGAAACTCAATTATCTTACAATAAAAATTTTTTTAAAAATCTTCCAATATGACATATTTATAGACCCTAATGAAGATTCCTTAAGTAAGTAAGTCATTAAAAGCAACAATATGACCTGATCATGGGTTACTTGAGAAACAGAATTGGAAATAAAGCTGTCTTAGTCATAGATACAATGTAGGCTTCCTTTTATTTCATATCCAAGTAATCGTCTCTGGCCTGTATTCATATTAGCCAATGGTATTTTAAAAATGAAAATCTCACTAGCTAGATAATATTGTTTATATTATCTCACCTTTAAAAAAATGTTGGTAGTGATTTATCTCTTAGTGGTAGGTTTACAGATTTTTAAAATTTGTATATTTATATATAGTATTTCCTAAATTTTTAATAAGCATAAACCAAGCACCTTATTAAAAAATTGTACTATGCAAACTACAAACCATTTTATAGTACGTTAAAATTAGACTCTGGAAATGGAAAATCCATAACCTCAGGGGTGGATGCAAAAGTGGCCCTTTAATAAACCCCTCAGGGTTTGGTGAATTCAGTCTTGAATCATCTGACTTTGAAACCTGCAGGGCAAACAGGATCAGGAGGAATGACAATCAACACTTTCGTATCAAAGCAGGGAATATTTTCCTAGTAGGGTGGGAGCTCCTGACAGCTTGCAGGACCAATATGCGAAGTCAGCATCCTCAGATCTCAGTACACTAAAGCCAAACCTGTTCACATTCCTGAAATGACCATCCCAGCACAACATCCCAAGGGACATCAGTCTTATTGTTCAAGGGGCTAAAACACAAGGTGAGAAAAAGGACTGCTTTAGGCAGAATCAAAGAGATGACAATATTAGAATAGTTCACATTCACTTGTGGCCCAGAGAATCTAGCTTTTCCAAACCTAACATAGTCAAGCACAGAGTAGAAGAAAGGCCTATTAGAAGAGACGGTCTCAAATTCAGACGTTGGAAGTTATTTCCAAATGACATTATTTATTAAATGTAAGCATTTAAAATATACCACAACTTTTATAAACCAATCTGAGATTACATTTTAAATATACTCAGACACTCAAAAAATTGAAGTGACCTGGGCTTTCCTCAGATTCTAAGAGGCCCCAGTAATAAAAGATTTTACGTGGAAATGAAAAACTGCTCTTGGCTACTGAGCATCTATGGATTCAATTCAGGTAAATCTAATACAGAGCTTATTTTAGTACAGGACGAGGAAGGGAAGGGGACTAGAATACAGGTTTTCAAATGCCCCACATTCTGTATTTCCTCCTATAAGTAGCCTAAAATTCCTGGGAATTAAGGCTTCCAATATTCAAAATTAAAACTACTTAATCTTAGAGGTAGAAGGGGACTTAGAGATCATCACCCGTCCAACTTCCACTCTCAGCGTGAGAGAATGATGCCAGATAGGGCTCTCAGGAGGAGCCAGTTTAAGATTGCTTTTGCAAAGAAAGATTTAGCAGACTGGAGAGTTTCATGTCTGGCACCGTAAACACAATTAGGGGTATAGTGATGTCCAGATGCAATTCAGTCTTCCAGTGTCCCACATAATCACATGGCCTAGTCCAGTCTCTGTTTTTCCAGTGGCCTATATCCAACTGTCATAGCCCTGGGCAGCGAATTCAACAGTAAGCAATAGAAAGCTGCTAGAAGCAAAGAAAGCTGGGTAGGCTCATAGATTAGTGGAGGACCAGCAAAGGAAGGCCGGTAGATTAGTGGAAGACCATAAAATGTGACATGTTTGAAGTTTCTTGGCTTCTTGAGGCTCTCAAAATTCTGAAGATTAGAATGTGTATTTTGGTTTGGCCACCTACATAGTCCTACAAACTGCTCCTAGTTATGACTAAAAATCCCTTCATGCATATTTCTGTAGGGTCAAACCAAAATGCAGTGATTGTGTACTCTTATGGTTTCTGAAGAATTTATACTTATTCTACTTTTATTCATAATGAAGATTAGATTTTGATTGAGAAAGATTATGGCAAAATGGGGAATGATTTAATAGGCTTATCTTATTTAACTCACAAATGTTCCGTTGTTTTTCTCCAAAATCAGACTATTAAAAACTTTGTTTTATAGTGATTACCTGGGGGGGAGCTGGATAGGGGGACCAGGGAGGAAAAAATTCCTTTAATTTTATATATGTCTATTTTGAATTTTAAAAAAATTATGAATAAATATTACTTTTAAAAAATAATAAATGTATATAAAGATATAAAAGTAATAAAAACTATGGCCACACTAAAAAGATCGGGGGGAGGGAGGGAGGAATGAATGGGTGGAGCACAGGGGATTTTTAGGGCAGTGAAACTATTCTGTATGATACTATAATGGTGGATACATGTCATTATACATTTGTCCAAACCCATAGAATGTACAACACAAAGAGTGAGCCCTAATGTAAACTATGGACTTTAGTTAATAATAATATATCAATATTGGCTCATCATTTATAACAAATGTACCACATTAATTCAAGATTGTTGACAGGGGAAAGGAGGAGAAAGGCTAAGAGAAGGTATATGGTAACTCTGTACTTTCTGCTCATTTTTCTGTAAACCTAAAATTGCTCTAAAAAATAAAATCTATTAATTTTTTTAAAAGTTAATCTTTCAAAAACAATTCTTATTAAATGTCAATAACAGTACCTACCTTACAGAATTGTTGTAATTATTAAATGAGCCATGAGTCTGTCATATGATAAACACTCAAATGTCAGCTGTTATTATTTGTATATATAATAACATCGTTTTTACCGAAAATCACCCATACTTAGTGGTATTAAGAAATGCTGATTTTATACTTAAAAAGAAATCTTCATAATCTTGTATATTTAATTAATCCCATGTCCCAACCTTGACATTGCTTTGAGTTTTACCACAGGTTGTAAAATATATGAATTCCTGAACACTACGGTTATTTAAACACTTACATAATATCCACCAGCACTGACTGTGACACCTACAACCAGATAATAGATCATATTTGATCCAGATGATCCAGGGAATTTGTTAGATGATATCCAGCGAAGAGATGCTAGGAAAACAAGTTGAAACACAGTTAGCTCCACCACTTAAAACTATTTTAAATAATTACACCTTTAAAAAATTTTCCCTTGAGGGAACCTAGAATCTAGTAACATCAAGTGATTTTAGCTTAAGGGAATGCAGTATTACAAGGGAGGGTAATAATTCCGCTTGACATTTTCCCAATCTAATTTGATATGTACTTATGAAACCTGTCATCTTGATGCTTAGCATCATGCTTCTCTTGGAAGGAGTGCAGATGTGGGTAAGGAGAAACGACAAAAGCATTAAACAATTTTAACAGTCAAATGAGATGCATATTAGCAAAAGAAATCCATTTACTGTATGTACTGACCACAAAATTCAGTGGAAAAGATTATTTTTCCAAAAGATGAATTAAACACATTTGTACTTAAAATTTGTATGTTAAATAAAACATTTGTGTTGAAACCCAACACATTTCTATAAATCTATATTACAAGTGTAGATATAGGAAGAAACTTTAATTTTTCTAATATAAAACCTTTAAAAAGGTGCAGATATACACTTTTTTAAGACAAATGGTTGCAAAAAGGTCATATCTGAAATAGAAGTACAATTCTGTACAAACTAATAGAAATAGATAAAAGTACTGTGTTATTATATTTAAATATATGTACTCTGTAGTGCTAGAATTTGTATATAGCATGTGCCCTAGAATTGAAATTTTTCTAATAGACTAAAAGTTAGAAAGAGCTTAAAGTTCATATAGCTCAATTCTTTATTTTAAAGAAAAAAAAGTAGAGACATTTATTCATTCAATAAATATAGTCGACCACCTACTCCATGTTTGGCATTGTTAGAAGCATCAAGAATGTAACTGTGAACAAGACACACGAGGTTCCTAACCTCAAGTAGCTCACAGTCTGGAAGGAGGGAACAGACGTACAAATAATTGTAGACAAATAATTGCAATGCAGTATGACAAATGCTGTAATAGATGTAAGTAGAAGCTGCAACAATAGCGTGAAAATACTCTGCTAGTTGGCTCAAGGTAGCTGTCACAATTGAAGAGACATGACCTGGGTTTTGAAGGAACGTAGCAGTTCGTCAGATAAATAAGGGAAGGGAAAATTGCACTGGAGGCAGAAGGCACAACAGGTGCAAAAGCAAGAGAGTTGTGTGACTGGGAAAGTGCAAAGTAATTTGATGTGGCCTGACATAGTATGGGTGCGGGGACTAGTGAGAAGTTATGATTTGCAGAGGGCAAATCTTAAGATATTTGCACTGATTACAAACCTTTGTAGTAGTAATATTGGAAAGATTTCATATATATGTTCTTAGTTTGGATATAAATGACCATCTCTTGGAAAAAATATTTTTTCCCTACAAATGTGCCCAAAGAGGCTATGCTAAGAGGTTATGGCTTTGACTTATAGTGGGGCTTTTGTGGGTTTAAAAATACATCTGTTATTAAATAGGGAATATGTAGCTTTCATAGTTGTCAACCAGACATAAATATCAAAAAGACTTTTTTAATAGGAAGAAATAAAGAAAACTATCAGAGATTTAAGTAAAGACGTACATACAAATACAATTATGGCAAAATTATTTAAAAGAGCAATGAAATGGGAAATATTCAGTAAAGATTAATTAGACAAATTTTAGCATATTCATACAATGTGAAACAAATAGACAAGATAATTTTTGCAGAATATTTACTTACGAGAGAAAATATTTACAATATATTAAGTGAAAAGTTACAGCAAAATAATCTATATGGGACTAGCCTAGATTTGTGGAAGCAATGTGTATAAGGAAAAAAAAATGCACGAAGGAAAACAAAAGTCTGGAACACTATATATACTAAAATGTAAATGGTGGTATTCACTGGGCGGTAGGATAACGGATGACTTCTGTTTTGCCATTCTGTGTTTTTTCCAATGATCTACTATGAACCTAAATTATTTTTTCACAAAAAAGTTACATTTTAAAAGCAAAAACCAGGGAACATTTGACGAGGCACAGTTAAAATTTTATCCTTCAATAAAACTGAAACAATTTTATTTTTCATCAAAGTAGAAAGTACCAATAAAAGGTTAATTAATGCCCATTACTGAAGCCAAATTTCCAGTCAGTCACAGTTTTTAAAATACATAAATCAGCGCTACAAAAAAAGTAATTAGGGGGTGGACCCGGTGGTGCAAGCGGTTAAGTGCGGGCTCCGCTGCCGTGGCCCAGAGTTTGCCAGTTCGGATCTCCGGCCTGCACAGACAAACCGATTGTCAGGGCATGCTGTGGCGGAGTCCCATATAAAGTGGAGGAAGATGGGCATGGATGTTAGCCCAGGGCCAGTCTTCCTCAGCAAAAAAAGAGGAGGATGGGTAGATGTTAGCTTAGGGCTGATCTTCTCCACGGGAAAAAAAAAAAAGTAATTAGATGAAAATTAGAGAAAGACCAGTATTGCTACAACCAGTATTGCTAACTGTTTGAAATTTTAAACTACTTTTCTTTTGCCCCAAGTTGGGGAGGAAATTATTTGAAACACGTGCAGCTACAAAAAAAAGTGTGTCTGTTTGTGCGTGATGACTGGGGCGGGGGGGGGGGGGCGGGATGCGGACAGATAAGGCGAAAGGTCACGGTCAGGGGGCTCATCTTTCTCCCCACCCCGCCCCCAGTAGCAACAGCTCCGTTATTTTCAGAAATTTAAAATGAATGGCTTCTACCTGTCCCATCAGTGAAAAATTTGCTCTATCTTACTCGGTATAAAGACCAAGGAAAAAGAAGACGCCTCATTTCTGTTACTTGTGAGGCAACTTCTTCCCACCAGCATTTTAAGAGAAATATATAAGCTAGTTGGACAGACCTTCCTTCCCTCCCAGCACCACCATCACCCCCACAGGCCTAATCAAAGTGAAAAAGACTGCCCATGGAATTTTCCGCAGGAGTCTTTCTCTCTCTCCGGCTCAAAAGCACGAACTGGGCTAAAGATACATCACAAGCTTTAGGAAGTGAGGCGAAGTGAAGCGAGACCTCCATGAGGCTGTCTAAGAGCCGCCCCCCTAATCAGGAACAGACGAGAGAGGAGAGACGGACGAGGACTAGAAAAGAAAGGGCTGGGGCAGAACTGCACCGGCGGCGAAACCCCGTCCCAGGGCGCGGGCCGCGGGGATGGAAAATACCCTCATGCTCACACTGTAGCACCTACGATGTTCCAAGCACTACGCCAGGCGCTTTCGCACATGTCAAGATTTATTTAATAAGCTTCCAGCTCATACTGCAACTTCTCCTCTAGAAAATTTCTTAATGCGCTCCCTTTTCCCCATGCATTCGCAAATCTAAAGGTGATAGATACGCGGACGACAGAGCCAAGCAACTGGAGAGCTCCAAGTGTATCTGCAGCCCCTCAGGAAGGAGCTTCGAAGGCCGCTTCCTCACCGGGGCACGCCAGGGCTCAGGCTTGTGGGCTTCAGGCTGCTGAGCCTTGGCCGATTCCTGAGTTTATTTACTCAAGAGCATGTACCCAGCGTCTGCTGGGCGGGCACTCCCTCCTGCACCTCGCCTCGCTCGCTGATCAGTGTCCATCTTCCCACCCATTCCTCTGCTTCCTCACGAAGCTGGAGAGCGCATTAGTCCCTATGATATAAAAGTGGTAAGATACACGTATGTTAGCCAGGCACTTTCCTAAGCGCTTTTAACTACATATTAACTCATTACAACTCACAGCTATTATTGTCCCCATTTTACAGATGAGGAAACTGAGGTGAAATCACTTGCCCAAGATCAAGATTCGAACTCAGGAAATCTAGTCCGGATTCAGAAGCCGCGCTGGAAAGGTTCCTACTTCCAAAGTCTCCAAGAACTTGGGCGCGTCTTCCCACGCGACTCTTCCGCATTTCTCCCCCCGCTCCCCAATTTCAGGCTTCTGCTGCTCCGGGTCGAGTTTGCCCCACCGGGTGAGGGCGGGGACAGGGGCGCCCGCGGGATCCGCGCGCGAGGCGCCCGTCATCGTCAGGCTGGGACGGCGGGAGAGGCGCCCGGTCCAGCGCCTGGCACTCACCGTCATTCCGCAGCGGCGCGGGGCTGAGGGGCGCCCTCAGAGGCAGCGCCAGGGTCTTGGAGACCGCCCTGCGGAGATACATCGCGCCGGCTTCCCGCAGCGCAGCAGCCTCTGTAGCCCCGCGCGGCGGCGGGGCGCGGTGAGCCCGGGCGAGCCCCGCCCCGGGGAGGGGCGCCGACCCCCGCCCAGCCCCGCCCGGGCGGCCCGGGGGAGGTGGGTAGGAGTTGGTCGTCCTCACCATCCTCGGCAATCCAACCTCCAGGCTCTGTTGCTTTCTCCCGGGTCCAAGAAGCTGATGGCGGCATCTCAGAAAAGAGATGGAGAACCGAGGAGGCGCCGTCACCTGCCTGTCCCGTACTGTTCCACTGAGTGGAACTCCTCAGTGTAGGGCTGGAAATGTTTCGGGATTCGCATCCGGAATAAGACATAGACATGATTTATCATGCCGTGTGAAATGTGAACCCAGTTTATCTCACGCACTCCGTTAGCTTTCCAAGGAGCGGAATGGGTAGCTGGAAGTTTTCTGGAGATGGAGCCAGGAGAGGGTTATCCTCAGCCTTACATTAGTGCACTGGGTGATGTTCAGAATCGTAAGAAAATCCCCAGGCAATGGTTGAATCTCTAGGCAATTCACTGCTACAATGACTTTAAATATAAACCCCCAACTGCTGAATAATCCTTTTTTTTTTTTTTTAAAGATTTATTTATTTATTTTCCCCCCAAAGCCCCAGTAGATAGTTGTATGTCGTAGTTGCACAGCCTTCTAGTTGCGGTATGTGGGATGCAGCCTCAGCGTGGCCGGAGAAGCGGTGCGCCGGTGTGCGCCCGGGATCTGAACCCGGGCCGCCAGCATCAGAGAGCACGCACTTAACCGCTAAGCCACAGGGCCGGGCCGGCCCCCTGAATAATCCTTAATGGGATGTGAAACTAGTATTTCCACATCAACTAAAAATGCTAAACTATTGGTTTCTTCTCCTAGATTTCAATTACTTGCCTCATTGTGGCTACAAGAATTTGTCATGGTTTGAATATGGAAACCAATAATTTATGCTTATAACATTTTCTGAATGATTAATCTTTGAAAGGGACCGTTTCCTATTATAATAGTCCCTCATGTGTGTTTGGCACTTGACAGTTCATAAAGCCCTTTCACAGATACTATCTCCTTTAATTCTCATTTCAACCCTGTGAGGGAGGTGGCAATTCTTCCCTTTAGCAAAGGACCAGGTGGTGGGGAGGAACGTCCAGGGACTGATAGTCATGATTTTTTTCTAAAAGACATGAACATAGTTCTTCTAGTTCCAAGTTCTCCCGACATGTTAGAGGCAAAATATTTGCTCATTTGCTATATGACTCAACATTCCTCAGGGGTTCTAGTACTGAACCCAATTCTAATAATATTTAACATATTCTCATTTGAAGGTACAAACCAATGGTCAGGACTGGTTTTTTGATACTCAGAGTTGCTTGCTATTCCTAGTGATTAAACACTTAACAAGAGCAATTAGGTAATCTGTAGTAAATGAGAGGTCATGTTCAGACTTCCAAGCAGCACAAGAAGGGGCTAAACCCAGACCCTCCACCAAGAAGTCAGGTAGTCCTGAAAGTAACAAAACACTCATTAGTACACTTGCTACTTTTGACCAGCATCCAGTACACCTCCCCGGCAATTTACCATTACCTGTCTCACTGGTTGTGTAGAACATTTAAGGAACTGCTAGCAGCTAGGGCAGATTGACAAATCAAACCAAACCTGTCTGGAGCACTCCTAACCACTTCCCGTTTGGCGCTACCCGATTTAAAATTTAAGAACAAACAAACAAATCTGTATACTGCTAGGCTCATTCTTTCCCAGATGTACTTAGGGCTGCATTTTGTCTTGGTTGCCAGGGAGAGGAAATAGTCAAAGGCAGTAAATGCATTTAAATGAATTAATGTATGCATTATGCTGTTATTTAATGTGTTGGAAGCTCCCCTAAAAAGGATTCTTTTGAGTAAACATTTGTAAATGATGATGGCTCCCAGGACACTGTTTTAGGCTCCTCTTCGGAATTTAGTTGTAGACTCAGGGTCTTCTGGGTCACGCCAGGTTCCATAGCAGCCACCTAATCTCAAATTGTCTGTAAGTATCTGTCAAAATGCCTACAATATGCTGGGGACCGTGCTGTATGCTGGGATTGGTTATAATTTATTTCACAAATATTTATCAAGCATCTAATGTGTTAGGCACTGTTCCAGGGCATTCTTCAATGAACAAGATAGGGATTTCTGCTATCACTCACAGAGGTGATAGTTTCAGGTTAAAGAGACATGGAACCAACATCTTTTCTCAGGGGTAGCTGCCAAGCCCACCATCAATGGAGTCAATGATCACAAAGAAATCTCTGACTAGATATTAATAATTAATGTAATTTAAGGGTTTTAGTTAAAACCAAACTGGTTTAAACAATGCAAAAATAACACACATGTATATAGGGCTTTAAAAACTTTTCCCAAAGTATTGTCACATCTATTTTTGTACTTCACCCTCTTAACAATCCTGAGGAATAGGCAGAGGAATGGTTATTATCCCTATACTACATATGAAAAAAATTGAAGTAGTATAATATTGTGGTTAAGAGCATTAGTTTGGGAGTCAGATACCTGGTCTGAGTAAAATGTCGATGATTCCTTTATTGATGGGGTTGTTTTGAGCTCTAAAGCACATTAGGTATGAAATGTGCTCAGCTAGTTGGAGGAGGTAGTGCTAGATTCTGCCTTTCAGCCTAAGCCAAAATCAAGTCTCCCTTACTAGGCTCTGCTGCCTTTCAGTGTGCACATGACAGGATCCATTATATTCCACCATCTTTTCAGATGGCAGGGTCCAGTGGGGAGCTTATCAGGTCCCCTGGATGTGGCCATTCCAGCTGGGAGAGGCAAGAACTGTGAGATAAATAGTGCCACTTCTCCAGATCCCTTTTCATCATGCCTCTTGGATCAAAGGGAATTTTCTACCTGTTCTACTGCACCTGTAGGATATGTGTCTTGCCATTTTGATGGCAAACTCTTTTCACATCTTGATGAAACATTTTCCAAGAGAGGACATGCCTGTGGGTTGTCAATTCACTCTGTAGCAAGCTGTTTCTCCCGAACCCGAGAGAATTTTAACATTAGGTCCCTGCTATGAAAGACTGTGAGGCCCCAACAATCGTTTCCCAGCTGTGAGTCATATTGTTTATAATGCTGCCCTTGAGCACATCCTTGACATTTTTCTTGGTTTTGTCAGGAAAACAAGAATCTAGGGTCAGAGGTTTCTTGGCTTGCCTATGATGACCTCCACCTAATTTTGATTGTTGACAAAGATGATATTAATTTTGAAAACATATTGTAAGGGTCCTCTACTGGCAGTATTAATTATACTTATTCAAAGCTTAAGTGCTATATAATTAAAAGCAATTTTTAAAGATTGAGTGATTTCCTAGGCTCCACAGAAAGCTAGAAACAGCTTTGTTTTTCTTAACACTACGTTCTTAGGCTATAACCTGTACTTTCAACAGATAAATATGGATATAAAGTGAAACAATTTAGAAGAGTATCTAGGAAGACAAATTGGCAAGCAATTAAGAAAGTCCTGATAGGCATCCTTTTGATGACCTAAAATATTTAGATAAAATGAAGGGGAAAGGGTAATCAGGATGGTAAATTATTAAACTATTTTTGGAGGTCACTAAGTACTCTCCCCATCTATTCACTTTCCCTTCTGTAGTAAAACAAACATGATATTCCCTAACACTTCTATATTATTTCCTAAGGCTACCATGACAAATTACTACCAACTTGGATGGCTTAAAGCAACAGAAATTTATCCTCTCACAGTTCTGGAGGCTAGAAGTCTGAAATCAAGGTGTTGGCAGGGCCACGCCTGCCCTGAAACCTGTAGGGGAGAATCCTTCCTCGCCTCTTCTCCGGTGTTTGCAGGTAATCCTTGGCTTGTGGATGCATCACTCCAACCTCTGCCTCCATCATTACATGGTTGTCTTCTCTGTGTGTCTCAGTGTCTCTTCTCTTCCTATAACTATACCAGTCATATGGGATTAACGGCCAACCCTACTCCAGTATAAACTCATCTTAACTAACTACATCTGCAACTGCCCTGTTTCCAAATAAGGTCACATTCTGAGATACTGGGGGTTAGGATTTCAACATATCTTTTTGGGGGACACAATTCAACCCATAACAACTTCTTATACTTGAAACTGAGTTCATATAGCCTGTTTTCTTCCATGGCAGAAAGAAAATAATTCAAATGACTACCTCACAGACACTAAATCTGAAAGAAGGTCTGCCTGATATTGACCTAACAAAAACCTTGACTGTAGGGGCCGGCCCACTGGTGAAGCGGTTAAGTTTGCTTGATCCGCTTCGGTGGCCCGGTTCGAGCGCCTGGATCCCGGGTGCAGACCCACGCACCGCTTGTCAAGCCATGCTGTCGTGGCGTCCCATATAAAATAGAGGAAGATGGGCATGGATGTTAGCCCAGGGCCAATCTTCCTCAGCAAAAAGAGGAGGATTGGCATCAGATGTTAGCTCAGGGCTGATCTTCTTCACCCATACAAAAAATTGACTGTATTTGATATGAAATTTTGCCTGCATCCTCTTTTTCATGGAAACTCTTCATCATTTGACCACAGTTCCTCTTGGGAATTCAGAATCAGAATGATTCTTGTTCAGTACGGCTACTTTCTTGAACTGATATCAACTCAGGAACTATTGACTGCAGCCTTCTCTTTACAATGTGGACTGGGGAAGAGGCCTGTGTGCAAAGGAAATAAAGCAGATACACAGACAGCAGAGCCAAGAGCAAAAGTCTTGATGACATTTGAGTTCTAGGACCCAATTATTCCTGGGCCCAGGTACACTCCTGTTCTTGGGGTCTGTGAGTCACTCCATATCCTCCAAACCTCTTTTTAGCTTAACATAGTTTCAGTTAGGTTTCAATATTTAATTTCGAAAGCATTTTTTACCAGTGCCACAACTCTATGAGGTGTTACTCATAGAATGAATCTACGTCTGTGCTGTCCAATATAGCAGCCACCAGCCCCATGTGGCTATTTAAATTAATTAAAATTAAGTAATATTAAAAATCCAGTCACATTAATCACATTCCAAATGCTCAATAGCCACATAGGAGTAGGGTCTACTGTATTGGATAGCACAGACAGAACATTTCCATCACTGCAGAAAGTTCTTTTGGACAGCCTTGGTCTTCACGAATGGCTCCCCCTGGAGTTATACACGAAAAATCAAGATGAAAGTCCACACAGGGTAACTATAAGCTTAAGGCCTGACACACAGTAGAAATTGTTTATTAAAGTTATATTTTATTTCCAACTGAGGCTATGAGTTTCCAGAATTTCAAGTGTCTCAGAGTTTTCTGTTCCCTTTTGGGATATGAATTTTTAAGTGTTTCTTTTAGTGGAAAGTGCCTTGAACTGGGAGTTGATACCTGACTTCTTGGTCTCTATTACCATGTGACAATATTAGTTTCCTACTGCTGCTGTAACAAACTTAATGGTTTAAACCAACACAAATTCACCATCTTACTGCTTTGTAGGTGAGAAATCCGACACGGGTCTCACTGGGTTAAAATCAGGGTGTCAGCAGGCCTATGTTCCTTTCCAGAGACTCCAGGGGAGAATTTGTTTCTTTGACTTTTCCATTCCTTGGCTTTTGGCCCGCTTCCATCTTCAAAGCTAGCGATGGTCAGTTGAGTTTCTCTCACATTGCCTCACTCTGACACACTCTTGCGCCTTCCTATTTCACTTAAAAGGACCCTTGTGATTACATCAGGCCCAACAAGATAATCTAGGATAATCTCCCCATCTCAATGTCAACTGATTAGCAGACTTAATTCCATCTGCAACCTTAATTCCCCTTTGCCATATAACCTAACATATACACAGATTCCAGGCAGTAGGACATGGTCATCTTTGGGGGTTCATTATTATACCTACCACAGTGATCTCAGGCAATTCACTCTTCACCTCAGGTTTTGCATTTGTGAAATTACGAGATTGGTCTATATGACCCCTAAGGTCCCTTCCAGCTCTATCAGCTAGGACTCCAAATTGAAAACATTAACAGTTACTATTTATCTAGTCTTTCAATGAATTTGGATTACGTTATTATTCTGAAATAATGTAACTCTGAACTTATGTTCAGAAGTGACTTCCGAAGACAGTGGCTCATGAATCTCCCAGAGTAAGTGCTGGCCACAGCCCAAAACACACACAAAATCAATTATAAGGTAATGAGCTTTTCCACTTAACATCTGAATGGAGACCAAATAATGAATTTTTAAATGTATGGTACACTAACAGTTTAAACTACAAGTTAATGAAGTGGCATATAAATAAGTTTTAACTGATTCATAAAAAAGGGTTTTGATGAGGGATAAATGAAGCGTATTCTAATTTGTGTCTATTAACTCTCATGCTCCTCCCCTCTTTTTAAATTTTTATTTATTTTTTTGTGAGGAAGATTAGCCCTGAGTTAACATCCATTGTCAATCCTCCTTTTTTTGCTGAGGAAGACTGGCCCTCCTTTGCTGAGAAGACACATGCCCATCTTTTTCTACTTTATATGTGGGACGCCTGCCACAGTATGGCTTCATAAGCAGTGTGTAGGTCCACACCCTGGATCAGAACCTGTGAACCCTGGGCCGCCGAAGTGGAGCATGCGAACTTAACCACTACGCCACTGGGCTGGCCCCCTCCCTTCTTTTTTTAATTTTTTTTTATTTTTATGTTTTGTGAGGAAGATCAGCCCTGAGCTAACATGGTGCATCGGTGTGCATCTGGGATCCGAGCCCTGGCCGCCAGTAGCGGAGCTTGAGCACTTAACCACTACGCCATGGGGCCGGCCCCCCGCCTTTTTTTAAATAGTCAGGAGTTTGCTGATCATTGGGTGAAAGTCATACTAGCAAAAAAGGACAACAAACTTCGTGTTGCCATAACCAGTGAGTAAAAACAGTCACCCAAATGAAAATCGTTCAAATTCAAGGAAATGGAGTCAGAAGAAACTGTGGTAATAGGATTCATCTTTACTTTCTGACTTACCAAAACGCCTCCTCTAGCGGAAACAGTATTTGGACTCTTTTGTATTTTGAGTAATAAAGTAGTTCTATCACACCAATACACTAAAGAATAAGTGTTTTCATTAGACATTAAAAGTTGATATAAAGAGTAAATTCTTCAGCAGTGATTTTTTAATATGTCTCCTTCACAAATTTTCTTACCATGTTCTTAATTACCACTGACCCTATTATCAGATGATATCTCCCACATTGAAATATATCTAATAATGTACCTTAAAATTGACATTTTCTATACATTGTCACAATATACAAAATCTGAAGAATACAGAAGTATTTTTATTTTTTAATTTAATGATGCAAAACAAATGCTGACTGACATATATTCACATAACTTTCTCTTTCACATTTACAACTCAACAGATTGGTGAATCGAGAGGAACTGCTATAATCACTTACATGGAGCACACCTATAACGAAGAGAAAAAAATTAAAACTATAGCATTAACCAGTGGAAATAATATTAAAATTAGACCATTCTGAATAATTCACCTTAGAGCATCAAAAAAAGTCTAAAAAACAAATCCACAAAGAGTATCAACCCCTTATTTTACTTAAGTTTTAGCAAAAAATATTTTATCTGATCTATAAAAGGGGAGCAAAAGCATCTGGTTTTGATTTAAATACCTATTTTATTTTTATCTTTTGATTGGCTGAAGGAAGTAGTGAAATGGGCAAGGTGATATTAATAGAAAAAAAGAAGCAAAAAATTTGGATAATCAAACCCAAAAGAGCTGAGTTTGAGAGTTGTTAAATATGAAAAAAAGTGTACATTAGTGATTACTATTTTATTATCCAGCAGATATAAATTACCTACTTTAATCAGCTTAATCCATGAAAGCTGACATTTGGAGGAGTGATTTTTCACTTTACAAAAGGATTAATATAGGATTTCTTTAAAAGGATTTTCAGAAATACACCATATACATACATATAAAATAAACTCACTCACTCTCTTAAATCACAGACCATGCAGAGTATGCTATCTTGTTCACAGCTAGGTTTTACCAGAAATTGTCAAATTGGGTGTTAGTTGTAGTGACAACCATAATCAAATGAAAATGCAGTAAAAAATTTAACGACCTACTACATTTATCCATTCTACAAATATTAAACTCCCAGTTGGGCCAGGCACTGGGCAAGTTGCTGAGTACATGATGATTAACACAACAGACAGGATTCCTGCTCTCATGGAATTTACACTCAAGTGTGGTATATGACAAACAGGTATTAAGAAATACATACACAAATAATGATAACTTGTCATAAGTGCTATGAAGACACTGTGTACAGCACCACTAGATTTAAGAAAATATGATTTGGGTTTCATTCTTTCTTTTTGTTTGTTCTTTTCTTTTCTTTTTTTTTTGGTGAGGAAGATTGGCCCTGAACTAACATCTGTTGCCAATCTTCCTCTATTTTGTACGTGGGACACTGCCACAGCATAGCTTGATGAGCGATATGTATGTCCGCACCCAGGATCTGAACCTGTGAACCCTAGGCCGCCGAAGCAGAGCCATGAACTTAACCACTATGCCACTGGGCTGGCCCCTGGGTCTCATTTTTTTTTTTGTCGTTGTTAGGAGATCAGCCCTATGCTAACATCTGCCAATCCTCCTCTTTTTTTTTGCTGAGGAAGGCAGGCCCTGGGCTAACATCCATGCTCATCTTCCTCCACTTTATATGGGACGCCACCACAGCATGGCTCGCCAAGCAGTGCGTCGGTGCATGCCCCGGATCTGAATTGGCGAACCCCGGGCCACCGCAGCAGAGCACACGCACTTAACTGCTTGGCGACCGAGCCGGCCCCTGGGTTTCATTCTTAAACACAACTTTCTTTGAACATAGTCCAAGTATAATGATCAAAAATGATTATGCTGGGGCCTCCGGTGGCGTAGTGGTTAAGTTCTCGAACTCCACCTTGGTGGCCCGGGGTTTGTGCGTTTGGATCCCCAGGGGCAGACCTATACACTACTTGTCAGGCCACACTGTGGCAGGTGTCCCATGTATGGGGTGGAGGAAGATGGGCACGGATGTTGGCCTGGGGCCAATCTTCCTCAGCAAAAAGAGGAAGATTGGCAATGGATGTTAGCTTAGGACTAATCTTCCTCACACACACAAAAAAAGATCATGCTAAAAGATGCTTGAGCCAAGGTATTAAAAATTCATAATTTGTCACAGGAATATAGGTGCTAAAAAGTACAAACCTAATTAAAAAAAACTCAAAATACATTATTTAAAAAAAGGCCAAATTAACTTGCATAATTTATTCATCCTATAAAATTACATACTTACTATATTAGTATTTCAAAAGTTTATTCCAACCCATTTCTTCTTTTATACTCTAAAACATCTTCATTATGTTGTTTGATGAGCTAGAAATAGGTAACAGTTAAAATTAGAAATGTAATCTTCCCGGCAAGTTAAAGAGGAGGAGGCTAACTAATGATATTTATATTTTGCAAGAGGAATAAGGATAGATTAAAAGCATTACAACTATTCTAGTTAGAAATAAAATGCTAAGAGATGCAAAAGTCCAAAAAACTATGAATAGTATATACTTGTTCACCACAATCTGACATACTAAATTTGAGACGGCAATCCTTAAAAGTTTAAATTCAACTTCTGCCAAATAAATTATTTCATTCAGTGGGTAATTAATGTAATGGAACGCCTTACCACAGAGGGGCTAAACCAACACAAAAAGGCAGAACTTGGTTATTAAATGGGGTCCAGGCTGGTTGGTGGGTGTGTATTATACTTCTAACGTTAGAAGTTTGATACTGTGAGTGAATGACGAACCCCACCGCCGAACTATATGTGTATTAATTAGATGTCATGGAGGACAGCCACTTTCTTGGAACCACTGTCTGACAGAATATGCAACCGGAACAATGGTTGATATAGAGTGACATTTGTTGCAATCAAAGATCCAATTTCAATCAGAGTTCTCAGTAGGAATCAAGATTTTCTTCAGGAAATCTTGAAATTAAGAACATATAAAATTTCACTATAACAAACATTTTGAAAAAGAATTAGCTAACTGTTCTTAAGTTGTAAGTGACTTTGAACGTTTCTTAGTCCTTCCCACGTCAAAGAGCTGACCACTTTAATGAGAAAATCCAAAATAAGAGATCCAAGAGTTGGAGGTGGGGGGCAGTGGAGGAAGCCTCAAACCCATTAGATACAAAACAAAAATTTTAAATACTAATGTAGCACAAATAACTTTGAGTCAATTTTTTTAAAACGTAGATAAAAAAACGTATCTGCAGGCAGTATTCCACAGTGGTCTATAGTGTAGCTCTGAAGTGAGGGAGAACCAGGTTCAGCAAACTAATTTCTGCAAGTGTTTTTTTTTTTTTTTGTGAGGAGGACCAGCCCTGAGCTAACATGCCATGCCAATCCTCCCCTTTTTTCTTGAGGAAGACTGGCCTTGGGCTAACATCCGTGCCCCTCCTCCTCTACTTTATATGGGAGGCCGCCACAGCATGGCTTAGCAACCGGTGAGAGCCCAGGATCTGAACCTGCGAACCCAGGGCTGCAGCGGCTGCGCTCCTAACCGCTACGCCACCGGGCCAAATCCTTCTCCAATGTGTTTTCTTCCTCTGCACAAGGTTAACTTGTACAAATACCGTTAACTTGTACAGACACATACCGTCGTTGAAAAGCTTAAATGAGTTTTTACATGTAAAGTATTTGGCATACCATAAAGACAAAAAAAAAAAAAAAAAGGCTGCTACACACTAACTACAATTCCAACAATGTATTTATACAACATTGATTAAAATCTTATGTTCTGTAAGTCTAATGGGATTTAATTCGTATAGCTTGTTCATTGATGGTTTGTCCCTATGGTATCTGAAAAAAGTGCCTTCATAAAACCCCAACCAGCCTCCATCTTCATTAAGAAATGAAATAAATGATAATTAATCCGTAGTAAAACTGCCCTTCATGACAAACCCATGCTAAGTAATAATGAATGACAGAAATTCCAGTCTCATCATGTTTTACCGATGCTGCTGAAATCTTAATATTTTTTAGACCCTGGGATTTCCCTCATGGAGAAATATTAGCAATTATATAAATATCCTATTGTATGGGAGATCGGCTCAGCAATATTCACTGTCACACGTATTTCTCCTCCCCACTGTGCTGGGGTCGCACGACATAAGGGAGTAGACTTACATAGATCCACAAGAAGATGGAGGTGCCCAAGGTCAGTCCAACTTTCAGCCAGTCAGGTTGGCCATGCGGCGGCTCCCGAATGTAAAACTTGGACCGCGCTGAAGCTGGAAGAGGACAGAGTCTGTAAATCTATAACTTATCGCCTCGTAGGAAAAACCTAACGTGTATTATCGCTTTTAATTCTCTCTGCAACACTCTCTTCCTTAAACAGCCAAGGAAACAGAGGTTCAGAGAGGTCAAGTAAGTCGTCCTGGGCCACCGGCAGAGCCTGGCCGGTCGTCCCTGTCCTCCAGGACGACTTCAAAGCCTCGCATCCAGGCTCCTGGGGACCCTCTAGACGACTCGCGAGTGGGCGCGTAGGAAGCGCCCCCGGAGGGTCTCCCTTCCGCAGGTCTGCAGGACCCAACCTGCAGAGGGGGGGGTGGAGGAGGGACCCAAAGACCATTCGCAGAGACTAAGAGGAGTCGGGTGGCATTTGGCGGAGGGTCGGTGGCGGGTGATGGGGAGCTGGGAGTCGGGGGTGGGGGCAGGCGTGGGCTCGGGGACGCGGGCCGGCGAAGGTCACTGCAGGACGAGCCCAGGCCGCAGTCGCTCCCTGGCCCCCCGGGCTGGGTTCGCCCTGGGAGGGGCAGGCTGGGATGTTGGGTCGGCCTGCTCGAGGAGGGACACTCACAGCCGCTCGGGAGCCTGGCCGGGGCCAGCAGCTTGGACAAGGGGCGCACCAACGCGGACGGCGCCATCTTGCCGGGCCGGGCTCCGCCTCCCCGCAGCCCTGCCCCTCCGGTGTCGGCGTCCGGCCGAGCGCCCCCTGGCGGCCGGAGGCACGGGACTCGCCGGCTCCGCAGCCGCGCTCGTGGGGGTGTTAACTCCAAGAATCGCAGTCAGGGCGAGGTACTCGAGCTCCCCTGGTCTCAGTCCTCAGTCTCTTAAGTGGGGTCTGGAAGGAAATGATTAAAAGAAAAAAAGAAAAGGTCGTTTATCCACTTCTCTGTCCTCTAATAGTTTATTTCAGATCCCCTTCCCAGGGGCTCGCCTGAAGAGATTTACTAAAATCTTCCTACATGAGCCAGAAAACTGAAAATGCAGTGTCGTGTTGTATAATAACTAGCATTTTGATTGGATTCTGTGTTCCAGGCACTGAGCACTAATGTCTCATATGGTTTATATGCATTGTCTCATTTCATTTTCACAACGACCGCGTGACATGCCGTGATTATCCTCACTTTACAGATGAAGCTCAAAGTAGACAAACCAGTCATCCAAAGTGATATATTATACGTTATATTTGAAAAGATCGCTTACAGATCCCAAAGTCTGTTTACACACACTACTCATAGTAAAGCCTCACAACCCTGTGAGGAAAAGAGAATCCTCGTCTGTATTTTAGAAGTGCCCTGACTGCCTCACGATCACACAGCTGGGGGCGGTGGGATTCAGACGGAGGTCTTCTGACCCCAGATCTAGTGATCCCCGTTAGTCCACCCAACAGGCTTGGACAGTCCCCTGAGGGACAGTCCCATGAGTTGTAGAGCAGGGTTCAAAGTGCCAAGCTCAAAGCACCATTCCTGCTCACCACTTTTTAGCTGTATGATTTTTAGGCAAATCACTTAACCTGTCTATGCCTCAGTTTTATATCTGTAACATAAAACCTATCCTGTAGGGTTTTGGGGAAGCTTAGAAACTGTCTGGTAGTTGTAAACAACTTGTTTTTGCCTGTCAAAGACATTGTACTGGCCAATAGATTTTATCTTTCACGCCTGAGCCAGATTTTTGTGCATTCAATTCTCAATTCAATCTGATGTCTAAAGACCATGTAAAAATATGTATAGATAAAAGAGATAATAAATTGTAATACTTGAACTCTCATCCTTTAAACATAATGCAGTTTAGGTTTATTTTAAAAGCAAAATAAATGTCAGCAAATCTCTTTTTCCTTCTTTATTTTCTTTAGCAATGTTATTGAAAAAAAATTTTGACCAAAAATTATTGGCCAAAGAGTGAAATAATTGTATTATGCTTTCTGGTTCACTTTTTATGTAACTAATAATAGATTGCTAAACCGTGAGTCACTTTATAGTTGGTAACCTAGTTTAAGCCTCCTCGACTCAAGCTCAAGTAAGCAAACCACCCACTAATAAGCTGACTCAGTTGTTGGTTCTCAACTTCTTGGCTTCTCATCCACTCAGCAACCTGTCAGTTGTATATCCTTTCTACACCATCCCTTGGAAGATTGTCCTGACACAGCTTTTGCTAGTATCCAACAAGTTGGAACAGAAGCCACATTTAGTCAGAGCATACAGAGCCAGTAAGCAAATTACTAATTTCAGTACTGCTGTTGGAAAAGTGTGTTTTGTTCTTTTGGTCTCTGTATCCTTTTACTAGTGTATATTTTGGGAAAGTGATGAAGTATAAGCACGTTTCTCTCAGCATGTTAGAGCTGATGGAACCCTACACTTGGAGTAGGCAGCTGTAGGTGAAACTCCATCTTGAAAAGAATCCTGATGAAGCAATTCCAGCCAGGAGCTAACAGCTATGATATTTGGTAGAAGTTACTACATGACATTCATTTATGCATCTCCAGAATTCAAATGAAAAAACCTTATTTATGACCTAGGCAAAGGGAGAGGGATTTGAGTTAGCAGCTAGAAAACTAAAGTTTTAAGCCCCAGATTTTTCAAAACATCTTACTCAACCCACACCTCCCAGGGAGGGTTAAAGAAGAGCAAGAGTTGAAAACAGTATAAAATGTACTACATCTATGTCTATTGATTTATGATGCATGAGAATACCATACATCAAATTCAGGATCTGGAGAGGGATGGAGCTCCTGATATACATGCAAATTTTTATTAAAAAAAACAGAAGCAATCACAAAATGTTAACATTTGTTAAATCTGAGTGGCAAATAGATTTCTTTTTTGTTGTATTTCTATAAAATTTAAATATTTAATAATTAAGACGTAAAAGTGTCAATAGAGAACATCTTACATATATGAAGATGGAGAAATTTCACTCTACATATCCCTTTTGTAGAATTAAAGTTTGCAAGGTAAATGACTGATTGATTGACTGATTGATTTTTGGTTAATTTTTTCTGGAAGAGCCATTTTGACAATAGTGGTATGCAAATACATCATCATCATCATCTAGCCTTGCATATGTTAACTTCCTGCATAGCTGTCATTCATAGCATGTCATTAAATGAGATCTTCATTTGTCAAACAGTGGTGACCTGTCAGAGTAGACATTTTATTGTTGAGTTCAGGCTATAAAGTCACTGACTGTGTGGTCCAACTGTTATCTGTAGGTGCATTTTTACTAGCATATAACTCAGATAAATGTTGAATCAAACTAGTATTCACTGAGTCTTAAAAATTGCTATTTACTCATTATCAGCCAAAAAGAACAGAACATTTGACAAATTATATTGCTTGCTCATCTATTCAGGTACTCAGTTTCTGGTGGAAACTATTGTTTGTTTCAAAGACCAGAAATTTTCTTCCCCTAAGGGGAAAATAGTGTATTATTTATAGGAGAAATTTAGAAAACCATAGCAAATAATATTGCTGTAGGGAATTTTGGATATGAAGCCAGAGATTTGGAAAGCTAAGTTAGTAGCTAAGCTAAAATTATCACCTGAAGTTAGACAATTTTTCTACCTTTTAATAGTTCAGATAGTTATAAGACCTCTTGGGAGCAGTGAAGTTCAAGGTTCTCTCTAAATAACTATTTTTATGAATTCTAAGTTTGCTCTTAGTTTTATTTTTTGTAAAGTTAAGTTAAAAAACTGGCCATATTCCAAAACTCAAATGGTTTCCTGTGGATACAATTTTCTTAGTGAAACTTTTGAAGAGAGATTACAGAATTTGAGGCGATTCCAGGATTTGACTGCTAAAACCTTATTTACCACCCAGGCAAAAGGAGAAGGCATTCGAGATGGCAGCTGGAAGACCCAAGGATTAGTCCCAGATTTTTCCACTGGGAAACATCTTACTCATCTCACACCTTCCAGGGAGGGTTAAAGAAGAGCAAGCTGAAAACGGAAAATAACTGTCAATAAATTTAAAAGAGCAAAGCTACTGCACATATTATTTAATGATTCATGATGCAAAGAATGTTACAGACGGAATTCAGGATCTGGAGAGAGATCATCAAAAATAATCGAAGGTAAAAATGGGTCATATGATGTGAAAAATCGTAGGTCACCAATGGAGTGCCATTTTTAACACGGTTTTACTGTCGGTTGTTAATGAAATGACATATAGGCGGAAGAGGCCCTATTCGGCATCTAGTCTGACCTTGCCTACTGCAGCAGGTCTCTAGTATTCTTGCCAAATACTTCTTCAGCTTCTAAGACTTGAGGATTTCTGGTGATGGGGAGTTGAACGAGTCTTGAAGCCAGCACCAGGAGAGTCAGTGTCCCTGAACTCTCCACTTCCCCAAGGTGACTCATGCAGTTGTCAACCCTGCATGTACGGACTCAACGATGAAATAAAAAACACACACTTTAACCTTCAGATGCTTCTTTGGCAGTGCAAATATGACATTTTTTAGATCTGGCTAAGCACCTTTCCAGGTTCATCTTAAGTAATAAATTAAATCACCAATATCCCAGCCACGCACATTTAATTGGTCAAGGTCTTTCACGCTTTTCAGATTCCATTAAGCCCCCCTCCTCTCCATATCTGTTTACAAGTCCCCACTGGGGGGAAGCCTTCGTTTCCCCTCCGCCTCTGCCGCTTAATGAGGCACTTGGTCCACGATCAAACACAAGGCTTCTTGAACACCTGCTTTTTAGCACTTCAGGCTCGATCTATGATCCTACAGTCTTGAGAGAATCTACTCAATGAATGAAAGGCCAATCTAGCAGGAAGGAACAAAAAAGCTATTTTTAATGCGCAGGCGGTCAGACGACCACAGACGACCACCACCCCCTCGCTACCCGGGCGCCTCCAAGATACTCTGCGCCGACAGAATGGGCGGGACATGCCCCGACGCTCGCGGCCTCCGCCGGCCGGCCGGCCTCCAGATTTCCCAGCAAGCTTCAGGACAGAGGAGGCGGGGAAAGGAGGTCACCGCGCCTGCGTGCTAGGAAGTGTGACCCGGGTGGGAAAGCCCTCCGCGTCCGCCATTTTGGCTGCTTCTGTCGGTCTGTTCAGTTACCACGTGAACCGCCGACGGAGACCCGTGGGGGGGTAGGCGGCGGTAGCGTTAAGTGAAAAAGGAAAAAAGACAACGAAGGGAAGGGGGTTTCGGGGTTGGGCAACGCGGTGACACCCGAGGCTTGGTGGCGGCGGTGGATCGGGCAATCAAGGCTGAAGCAGCCAGGGAACGGCGGCGGCGGCGGTCGGACAAACAGACTGACGGAGCCGGGCGGTGGCGGGAGCAGCGGGAGGAGCCGGAACGATGCCGGCCGTGAGCCTCCCGCCCAAGGAGAACGCGCTCTTCAAGCGGATCTTGGTAAGTCTGAGCCTCCGGGCAAGCAGTGGGGAGGATTTAGCCGGTACCCAGGCCTGTCATTCCTAACCTCGGCCCGGTGGGCACTGAGCCGCCCCCGCCCGGGACCCCGCCTTCGTACTCCTCGTCAGGCCGAATGCACTCCCTCGTCCCCTTCCTGTGCTTTCCACTCGGCCCGCGCGCCGAGGACCACAGGCTTCCCCCTCCCGTCCCCACGCTTCGGAGGCCGTGGTTCTGGATTAGGCCCTGTTATCCTAGCTTCTAGACTGTGGGTTTTCATCCGCCCTGAGCGAAGGGAGGAGAGGCCGGCCTTTAGCAGG